AATAAAATAAACTTTGAATCATGCTGCGCCCGTTGTCTTGTGCACGCCGATCTTTTTTCCCCTGCAAAGTGCACATACAGCTGAAGAACGAAGAGAGGGTCGTGGCATCGTTTAGGACAGCTTTCCAGAACCTTGGCCCCGAGAAGGAAGTATTTCTTTCCTCTGAACACACTCAGTTTTACCAAGGACATTATGTGTGTATAATGTCCTTGGTTTTACGGAGTACAAATTAATACATATTTGAAGTGTATATAATTCCTTTGATTATCCGGTAGCACTTCTACACCCACAGTAGCATTAACATATTTGTTATCTATATTCCATCCTTTTTGTGACCCGTACTTAACCCAATGGGTATGTGTGTACAATAAAGGTCTTTATTCATTCATTCATTCATTAACTCCGCCCAGACCTCCGCCTCGATGATTGTTGCTCTCTATGGTTCGACCGGGCGGGCCCTATTAAAGTGTTCGGCGCATTTCGTATAGAAGTAAAGAACAACAAAGCTACGTACTTGTGCATCAACATTATAACCCTTGTTACCGATAAAACCATTATTGAAATATTCACAAATCTTTATTGACCATTGCTTGCTTGATCACCAACACTCTCCGTGATCCAAAGCTGTACGTTTCGCCGCACTTGCCTTACCCTTCGATGCGGTGGTGACGTCTTGCAAATCGGCTGCAGCCAGCGATGAAAACTAGCCCCAACACGAAACGCTTCCCGCGACAATACTGTATCCAGTTATCATGCAATCACGTATATAGTACACGGCCTAAATTTATTTTTAAACGATATTTTCTAGAACTAACTGTTTTTAAGACATACATGCTACATGCACAGAAGCACAAGGGGTGCGTACTTTCGGGAATTTACGGTAATCCCAAGACGGCGTTTCACTATTATATATCTAGGGGCGAAATTAGGGTGGTGTTAAAGATACCAGTGTACTTATACATTTCATTGTTATATTAACTGTATTAGTTGGATCACTAATTATAAAGATCTATGAAAAAAAACAAAAGACAGATAAAAAAGGTGAATCCCTATCTAGCGATTCTAATTTTTCAAGGGCTAGAAACACAACATAAATTTACCTGGGTCTAACTGATTTTGGACCCCTGACGGCTTTCCTCGTACTGTACAGAAATTCTGGATTCTTTCTGAATTATATGTGTACGTATTTGAAAAAAAAAAACGATTTATAAAGAACGGAACAGTTAAACACAAAATCGTCGCCTGTGTTTTTTTAAAAACATCATACTTGTTTGTTTTGTTGATCGTTTTCTTGGGAGAGACACCCTGTTTTGTGCCCGCCTCCGAGCACAGTCAGTTTTGGAATGATACCGAATTCGAACATAAACAACCCCTGTTGCTTAGCAACTCTGTGAACCTCAGATGACCCTAGATGACCCCAGGTGTGCCATTTGCTCTAGAACGTTGCATCGCGAATCAAGAAGCTGACATTGCGCATTTCTATGTCTATAAAATCTCGCTACTGATTGTTGCCGCGCATTCAAATTTAAAGGTCTTCTAGCGCAGCATACGGAGACATCAGGAACGATCGATGGAAACAAACGCGCAAAACATGGAGCTCCACAATCTCATACCTTCGCCAAATGATGTTCACGTTTATTAGATGTATGTTTGGATATGTAAAGTTGATATGTTAGGTTGTAACGGGTTTGGCACGTTAACTCAAGAGGCTTTGGATGTCAAGAAACTTCCTATCGAAAAAATTATTACAATTTGGAACCTCTGACGGCTTACCTTGGGGGAGATGCGGGTCTGACGCACTGCCTACTTATAACTTATGGCCTGCGTAACGGTACTGTCATAATTCTGCGTATCCCAGATGCGCATGAGTTGCGCACAGACATTTATTTCATACGTAGTCATACGCACAATACTCTCAAATTGCTTTTTTTATTTGTCTGACAGACATCTTGTGTATAGATAAAGAATTCAGCGTATCCATTGCGTTTGATAAGTTTTCTGAATCCACTGTAAACATACGGTCGAATTTACATGATATGTAACACGTTACATGCATGTTACTCATGTCAAAATATGCAACGATAATTTTGATGACGGAATAATGACCTCAAAACAACTTGTCCCAGTGGTGGAAAAAAAATCTGGTTTTCTTGTGTACCATCAAGATTCAAGAGCAAAGAAAATTCAATAAATCTTGTATAATATCTATGGAAACCTATAACACAGTCGAGGATATACAGGCAAACTACTACAATTCTGAATTTTCCTATGTTTTTGTATTTTTAAGTATTCTTTTGAAACGCATTAAATAGATAATTAGATACAGTTCTTACAGTATCATACGTACATAGGGATACTTACAATGCCGAAAAAAGTCGTCTATATAAGCTGTTCCTCCTTGGTCTGTCCATGTGGTTTTAGTTTCATTAATATACGATGATATCGTTCTATGATATAATGATGATTATTAGATGTTATGTTATTAGTATAGCACTGTAATATCGTTTCTAACAAAATCAAAAAGAATTTGATTATTATTATTATATATATATCCAGTGTCCTCACTATGAGACCGAAAGAAACAGATTATTTCAGACAGTTACAACAATTTCTCCATCCTTTCGTCATTTAGAAGATCACCAAAAAACTGCATTTCTACTAAGATCACAAAACCCACTAATTATGCAGAATGTGGGACTATTCATTATCCACTGCCTTCAAAGAAGAAGTCGAACCCCACAATAGCTAGCGTAGTAGTAGAAGTAGAAGTTTTTTCCAGACAGCTGTTACCTGTCTCTTGTTACAGTGTATTGAGTAAAATTCATTGTAAAAGCAATTAGCCTTCGGGCATGATTTTGCGAATAAAGTTTCAATTATTTGAAATTACCACAACATGATCGTTTTATGTAAAATTCTATCAATGTCTAGCCTTAAGCTTAAATTCTAAGTGTTCTTACAATTAATTTGCATTAATACATGGCACTAATGATGTACAGGTATGCAGGAGACTCCATTGGTTTGAGAGTCCCTTACTGAATGTTGTGATTGACCGCAGCACGTCTCTGCGGCCTCATCAGGTCAATCTTCCGGCACAGTTCTTCGGCCGTTGGCCGCCTCGATGGGTTGAATACCCAACATGACCTGATGATGCGGTACACCGGCAGAGGACAGTTCTGTGGCTGTTGAAGACGGACGCCTTTCCTCAGTAGTTCCAACAGTGTGCAGACGTCCGGGTGCATCGGACCGCCAGCGTAGCGCGGCTCCTCCCCGAAGCTGGCGATCTCCCACAGCAGCACGCCGTACGACCACACGTCACTCTCACACGTGTACACCCCGTCCCGTAACGACTCCACGGCCATCCACTTCAGCGGCAACAGTTCCTCCTCCCCGCCCTGCTCGGTGCGTTCGTACGCCGACGACACGTAGACGTCACGCGCCAGTCCGAAGTCCGCGATCTTGGCCACTTTTCTGTCGCTAATGACGACGTTACGAGCCGCGATGTCCCGGTGCACGATCTTCAGACGTGCCAGCTCCGTTAACCCACAGGCAACGTCGCAAGCAAAATCGAGACGTTCTAACAGTTTCTTATCCCCCGTGATCTTGCACTGTTCTCGCAAACTCCAAAGATACCGCCGTAGTTCTTCATTGCTCGCGTACTCTACCAGGATGTACTGAGGCTCCGACTGGGTCAGAACTCCATAAAGCTTCACCACGTTTGGATGTCCCTCTTTGTCCTCGTGGATCCTGGCGAGAATGTCCATTTCTCGGTGAAAGTCGCGGACAGCAGACGCCGTTTTGCGGTCAGGCCGGATACTTTTGGCGGCGACCAGGACCTCGTAGCCTAATTCCGGCACGTGCAGTCTTGCCCGTACGACATGGCCGAACTCTCCCTCCCCGATCATGTGCTCCAAGTGAAGGTCCTCTTTATTTACTTCCCACGACGAAAGGGGTTCTGTGACGGTTGTCATTTCTGTTGACTCTTCTGATTTTCTTTGGCGTCGGCGACTCCGTTTCACCAGGACTCCAGTGACTATGCAACCAATTAAAGCAATAGTCGGGATGACGGACGCCAACACTACGGCAACGACAGGAATGGAGACGATCTGACAAAACTCGCCCGACTGTCCTTCAGCACAAATACAGCTGCCATTGACTGGATCACACAAGGCGTTGTTTTCACAGTTACACTTCATACTGCAGTTCCTCCCGAATGTGCCGTGTGAGCACTCGTGACAAAACTCGCCCCACTGCCCTTCAACACAAATACAGCTGCCATTGACTGGATCACACAAAGCCTTGTTTTCACAGTTACACTTCATACTGCAGTTCCACCCGAATGTGCCAGGTGCGCACTCGCGCTCACACCTGTCTCCGCGACGGCCCGCAGGACACAGACACCCCTCCCACCTGTCACACGTCCCTCCGTACTCACAGTCACACACTTGACTGCAATCTTCCCCATGATAGTTGGGTCGGCATTCGGTGGCGTTCAGTATGAATGTCGCATTGAAATGCTGACCATCTTCTGCCTGTACCATACAGCTATATTTGCCGTTAGCTGTTTCTAGGATCGGCTGAAAGCTGATAGAGCTGTTCTGGACTGCCCCTTCTTCGATAGTTTTTGTGCCGTTATGTTTTTGTCCTGTTTGATAAGCCCATGTCATATTTGCCACGAGGATATGTGGAGCCAGGCAGGTTAAAGTCAGATTGGTGCCGATGTATTTCATGACTGAATCGCCAGGTGTCTCTACGATGGCGACTTCGGGCCAGGGAATATCACAGACCCTCCCTCTCCAGCCCAGGCGGCACTCACAGGCACCGTTAAAGCCATGGCAGCGGGCACCGTTCTTACAAACACAGTTCTTGTCACAGTACACACCGTACCGACCCTCAGGACATCCTGTCACGTTGTACCGAGATGTCCACTCAAGCAACCTTCTGCCTCCCTCGAAAGTCACGTTAGCGCCACATACAAACCAATATGATGGCGTGGATCGCATCTCATATAACTCTGCAGCAAAGACATAGCGGTAATTTTCTTGCACCCAGTAGTTGCCACTTAGTACCCACCGAGGCAGGTCGTTATCGAGAGTAATGTCCAAAATAGTAAGTTTTCCTTTAGTCTTCCACTCTCGGTCGTGACATACAAGTTCGACTCTACCTTGATTAGCTTGAGACGCGAAGGCGAATGCGGCAGCGTCTCCACTTAATCTCTCTACACCAATCACATATTTCAAGGAGCAATCGCCTTTCAAGCGGAAGTTAGCGGCGATGTTAGGGTACTGAAGATAGTCGTCGTACGACCCAACTATCCCTCCATCAATGTAAGCATTAAAACCATCACTAGTAAATAAAGTATAGTCTCCGTTCCTCTCTTTACCCGAAAGGACTGGCGTTTCACACTGTTTGTTATAGAATGGCGGGTATCCAGACACGTCTATGACTTCGATGACGAGGATCACGTACAAGACGTTGTTGTTCCCTGTGTTTGTCAGCTCCACCGTAAGGTTGTACCGTGAGTGTAACCTGTAGTCCAGCGGAGCCGCTACGACCATTGCCAAGTCCTCAGCACGAACTTCAAACCGTCCCCAATCGTCCCCAGTGGTGATGTTTGCTGACCAAAACGTCCCGTTGGCGTCGTCTGCAGAACTAACCCGGCTGGCGGCAACAAGAGAATCTCTCAGCCGCACCACCGTGCTACCGACTGGCGCATCCTCCGGTATTTCCGTCACATTTTCACCCAAAACTAAAAGGTCATGATGAACCTGGAAGCTAGACAGCAGATCGGCTAGCAGAAATACAGCACAGACCGTAGCATGTAGCGCCATTTTTACTTTGTATAGTAATGGTTCTCTGACACAACGCTTCCTTTCAATGTTACCGGCTCAATCCTTTCTTTTCCTAGCCACTTACTCTTTTTACTGTTTATCCTTCCTGTCTGGTTTAGTGTCGGTGGTCGGGTTGAGATCTTCTTTATCAAACTGCGGCTAGACAGAAAGCAAAACAACAATGTGAACTTGACGACTATTTGTTTACAGTTTAAGAATTTAACTTTATCATTTCCGGGTACGCAAGTCTGTCTGTAGCTGCTGTTCAAATGGCTAACGGTTGTGCGGCCAGGGTGGGTACGCCTGAAGATGAAATGGGTAGTATGGGATCTTGTGTAATGTCTGATTTATTTACTATACAAATGAGGTACTAGTATGTTAACTTGAAGGTCACGAAAATCCATAATACTTTCCAGAGGTGTGAATCTCTGATTTCTTGTTCTCTGTGTCTTTTAATTGCAGTGTTTACAATTCTGGCAAATTTTGTACCATGATATCTAAATTTCTGGACAGAAATCAAACGTGCAGCCTAATCAGTGGGTTTAATTCTATCAGTTGTTATAACCAAGGACCTTGTTATAACTCACTGCACTGTGACTGAAGATTTCAGAATTACATGATCACATCTATGTTCCTGTATTCATGATGTAGTTTCAGACCACCTCAGGGCATACAATGCTTGTAAAGCAGACACTATGTTGCCAACTCTAGTTTGTTTCCGGGTCATTTCTTTTAAGTCTAACCACAACTAAGCTTCCTTGTTCTAGACACCTTGGAGGCACAAAAAGTCTGTGCACGGACAACGTAATGGAGCCACCCGGAAATTCTGTCCCGGAAATAAGAAAAAAATAAGAAAAACGTACTTCAGGCTACTATGTTGTTGTTGTTGGACTATCGGTTGAATCGTGGAGGTAGAAGAGTTGAATACAGCCGGTGACCGTACTTCGAATTCATTCAAGTACGTCGTATTTTGAGCGATCTACGACGTTTGTTGTTACTGTAACAGGAGTCATGGTTGGCTAAACTGTGTGGTAGTTGGTTGAACTACAAGAACGTTGTAGCTCACTTTTGATCGTGGAATGTAAAACGATAGACCTATCAAGTGGGTTCTATTTAAACCTCCTTGGACCTATCTTTACCAGTATTTGTAGTTCGCTCAGCTCCGTCGTATAGTGTGATGAGGTACGGTTTTGCACTACGTCCTAGTTCACCGGGATATACACATGACAGACGCACCGACAACGATAATGGCTAAATGATCCTGCCACGAACATATACCCCCACCCCACCCCTAATAGATGTCTTCGAGAACAAGATTTTACCTGCGATTTTAAGCATAACTCGATGTAGTTGAAAACCAGAAGTACTTGTTAAGGGAAGGCGTCTCTCCCTATAACTGAGTCGGTCGTCTTGAGACGAAATAATAGCTAATGACTTTCTATGTAGCTTTAAACGCCTGTTGACAGCGACGGAAAACAACTTCTTTAAGTCATTCCTATGAAGAATCAGGAAGGATCGGATATTCCTACCTGTGACGACGACGTTTGAGATCCTCAAGCTTGCAGACTGAGGTGCTGATCTGTCACAGAGCCACATCCGTGTGAAATTTCGCCCAACCTGTTCGCCGAGAAGGCTGTTCTTATCAGCAGTCCGCAGGTGTATCAACTTCACCTGAAGCAAATGACCCAAATCGTAGCACGTCGGCAAAACAAAACATACTGCACCTGAACGAAATCCGTAATGTATTGTATGTGAATATGCTTGAATTACATCAGCGGATCATATTTTCCATCCGGAGTGTGAACTGGAGTGTTTATATTTGTGCTTGTTACAGACCACCTGGCCAGAATGTGGAGGAACGTTTGGCATTCATTGGCCTTGTTCATATGAAACCACCCAAACCGCGATTCGGGTAACTCGCTTTCCTTACATCTGCCATACATTCCTTTCAAACCGTGTCCGATCACGATTCTCTGAAACTGCATTCATTGTTGTTTGATGAAAACACGCAAGGCGTTTTATTAATGTCAGAGGTCAACGACATGCTTGCTGGTGCCCCCTCCCCGGCGTATCTCGGCCGAATGCCAACGTGGTCCCGCCAGAGGCGGTGAAGCTTGTCCTAGAACGGACACATTATTTGACCATTACTGCTCTTTTTTGCTGCCATGTAAAATTTGGTATTGCTTATAAATCAAGAAATATCACCCTGTAATCCATGACCAGGTGAAGTCACATTGAAATCACATTGCGCAAATCGCGATGCGGGAAAACCGATTCGAAACCACCTCTAGAAGTGGTTTGGGATCGAGGCGCTTTCATTGTGATTTAGAGCGTTCAGATGGGGCCAGTTGAAACCGGCTTCGGGGGAAACCACATCTAAAGCGCCTTCACTGACCTCATATGAACAGGGCCATTGACGACCTGCAGCAGTCGGTAGATACCATTGTGGCCAGCGGACCTTCCGAGCAAAGCGCAATTGTTTTACTCGGTGATTTCAATAGTAGCTCTGATAACGTATCTGGTACGATAAACAGATTTGTGTCTGACAACAACTTTACACATTTGAATCGGAACCTACTCGCAGTACCGATACTTCATCATCTGTACTTGATGTCATTATCACTGACTCACCTGGTCTTTTTATGGACCACGGTATCTACCCTCCACTGTCTAATTGTGATCATTGTCTTTTTTTACGGAACAATGTCTGTAAATATTCCTAAAGCCAGCGCCTATAAACGTTAGACCGTTTTTGACTTTACGAATGACGAAGAACTATTCCAAGATACTCGAAGTAGACTGGAATTCTGTGATATCAGCACATTCCAGACATGAATGCCTCAGCTGAGTCTTTCATGTCAACTTTGACCAATGCCATTAAGCTGTTTATACCCACTAAAGTAGTTACCATCCGTCCAAGAGACAAACCTTGGATGACAAGTGAGATTAGATGCCTGCTCAAGAAAAAGAGGCGACTTTACAGACGATGAAAAAAACAACAAATAACCCAGATTTATTTCGTGTTTTTAAACAAGTCCGTAATCACTGTGCAGATCTAATTAGACAAGCGAAGAGAAATCACCGGTCTAGCCTATGTCTCGACCTTGCTAATCCAACAGTGAGTCCTAAAATGGTGGTCTGTATCCAAGGAAATCTTCCTTGGTAAAGCGGACCTACTAGCGGTCCTCTCTACTTGAAAATGCAAATGTCATGTCAGACGACAAGGCTAAGGCCGATGTTCTCAACACTTACTTTGCGTCTCAAACATATCTAATCCCAAAGGCGCCTCATTCCCAAACTTTATACTCAGGACGGACTTCGTTCTTGACTCTATTATCTGTTGTCCTGCAGACGTATACACAGTACTTTCAAGCCTATAGTTAATAAGGTAGTCCTAGGCTTCGTCTAGCCTGGGTACCATCCCCAGTAATATATCGCACGCTCTATAGAGCTGGCGAATATATTACTGGGGATGGTACCCAGGCTAGGCTTCGTCCTGGGCTTTCATAAAAATTTAACTTTGGACGTATTTTCGTCCCGTCCGGAGTTGCCCGCAGGGTGTGACGTCGCCCCTAACAACAATTGATTGCAATCTCCTTATATATCATAAAAGAAGAAGATATGTAAAAGAAGAAGAAGATATATCTATCAGAACCACCTTTTCAGTCTCCCCATTGAACGTCTCCGTTGGTACCGCCCGAAAGTTCATGGTACAATAGGTCATTAACCCACGTTCCTCCATGACGTGTCTACTAAACGTGGGGTGGCTGGCCTTCAAATCCCCTGAAATGCCCGACCTTTCCTTTGTTGACTTTAACTCTTGTATCAGCACTTTTAAAGGTACAAAGATCACAGAGCAGCGTCTACTTCAAGTAGGCTGTTATTTTTTAACGCTGGGGGGAACGGAAGGTCATCTGTTGCTAAAGGCTCAACAATGCGTCAGTTGATGTTTAACTTCTAAGGAATGCCAGACACTAATAAGTCGTGTGGTCGGAGTGAAGTTTATCCTGATAAGTGTACCAAGGACGTTAGAAAAGTAACTTAATTAGTAACAAGTTCTGCAACCCCTCCATTGAAATTGGTCGTTTGGTAGCTCATAACAAGGAGGATAAAAATCAGTTTTCGGAATGGATATATGTAAGATACTCGACATACCTACATTTGTACAGTAGGCGACTTTCTTTAGGGACAGATGCAGAGAGAGAAAAAAAATCAAAATCACTCGTACAAAGATGTTAGAGAAAGATGACGATACAAACAGCGGTATGAACGCTATTTTATTTTCACTCATCTCAAACCTTCAAATTCATCAGGTATTTCGATTTCATACCGACAAATTCATGAACCATGCACCACCACTGTAGTATATTCACTGTATGTAGTATGTAGCTTGCCGACGAGCACACTCTAGCTAGTTCTGGAAAGAACTGGCTTTCGTTTGCAGTCATCAATATTTAAGACCATGGCTATATCATATAATCGGCCAAGGAGGTGGAATACGTGCCAAATGTTCGGAATACTAGCCTGCCCCAAGACTTCATCAACCTAGCTCTTCAACTGAATACACTCAACACCGTCATCCAGGGAATAAACCGGCTTATAAAATGTTGTACATAACAGACCAATCTCAAAGCCTGGCTCACCTTGGCCAAAACCAGTGACGTGTAATGCGAAATAATAACATAATAAAAATACAAATACGTGACGCACCGCACATGGCCGTTCTTATATTGGTTGAACGTCTAATTGAGAAGGTAAAACAGGATCGGTCTTTTGATGTTTTCAATGTATAGACCTTTAATAAAGTACGCATCCAACGTGTACAGTGTGGAATACGCGTCATACGTGCGTGCGTGCTTCACAGCAGGTATTTTGCCAATCTGATTATGACGCAATCAGCCACCGCCTACTCTACAACCAATCACAGAGCAGCACCCGTCTCACACCCCCTCTGCACCCTCTCACATAAACTTGTCATATCATTGCGCATCCTACAATTACAAATTTAGTATACTCTTCTCAAAAACAACACAATTTAATCGTGACGGTTGAAGTGTGGGAAGGAATTTGTACTTAATCTGGAATGTTCTGGTCGTTAAGTGAGTTTTAGAGCAACGTGCGTATTAAACATCGACACAAAATAGTGCAATTTTTTCCCGCGTAGGCTTACAGTAAACCGCCGGAGTCCGGTTTCCGATCTCTCCAGTTGGCAGCTGAACATCACAAGACCGGTTGAAGCTATTCCTGGTGAAGTTTAAGACTTGTCGAGACTGGAAAAGACCTTAAAAAAACGCCACCATGTCGACCATATGTGGGATATTATTTCGGTAAGTCTTCTGTAAATTTTCTACATTTTTCCTGCCCCTCGACGGTACGAAAATAGCTTCGTGCTGAGTCGAACATCCGAACCAACGCGCAGCCCGCGCATTTTTTATGGGTTTGCCCCCCTCCCAGTTAGTTTTAAGCTTTCCAGTTTATAATAGCCATGGCGAAAATCCAATTCTCAATGTTTTAACTACAGAGAAGATAGATATTGTGTTTAACAGAACGGCTGGCCGGATAATTGATCGCGACTGACGCAGAACAGTCATGTTGGCTACCCGCGCGCTGAAACCTTTCACAGCGCGAGCGGAAAATTCCATGGCGCGATTTGTGTGCTGCGCGCCGCGCGTGGTTGATTCTAGCCGGCTTTCCTGGGCAGAAATTAGGCGTGTCTTGTTTGATATTACCTTTCTAACATGGCCAGACACATCTGTACATTTGTGGCCTTCTGTGTGACTATTCCGTGTTGTTAGAAAGTGGAAAGTTGTCTGTAGTTACGACAAGAATGAACTACATCGATCATCCATGACAACTGCTACTGAACGTCCTTGGTGAAAATGCGACGTAATTTCGTGACATTGTAGCACGACCTAAAACAAGGTTAAAGAATAACACCATTTTCTCCCTACTATTGAACGACAACACTTCTCAGAAGCGTTGAATTCGACCCTGGACTTCCCTTCAAAAATTATCTACAGACTACGAACCATGCAGGAAGTGTGAACTCACCGGCTGTTGAATATTCAAATTGCTACAACCAATATCTTGTCTGACACATTTTGGTGATGCAACAATTGTCAAATCATAAACGTAATTGCCTGAATTTGTTTGATGATACTGATGTGTGTTGTTTGCAGTTGAGGTTTTTATTACTTCAGTGTTGTTTTTCAGTTTCATGTCAACAAGTATTTGTATAATGTCAATCAATGTTACTGTAGTAAAACCCATCCTAGCTAGTAACTGGTTGAGTTAGTCAGCTATAGTAACCTAGAAATGGACCCCTAGAAATGACCAGTACCACAAAAACATTTAGCTCATATGGGACAAAAATTTGAAACAAAAATTAGGATTTGGATTACAACAAAGATTACAGCTTGCAGCACTTAATGATGTTTAATCTTTTCAGGATTTTGAGCAAGCGTGACTGCATTTCAAAGAAAGTGCTAATTAATTTCACGTCTGATATATGCTAGACATGTAGGTGTGAAAAACATTAGTACCCTCCCCAGACAAAATGGCACTCGGATATCAAGTTACTATTGTATTGGTAACCGCACACCTGCTGCCATAAATAGAGGACAAACATTACAGTACAACGGTACATGGAATTGTATTAAATTTTAGCAAGCAAGGGATTGCAGTTACACATTTTGCATATGCTCATGTGAGAAATTACTGCAATTGTATGAGTTTTCTTACACATTTATTATTATTACTAGGCCTATACTAGCCTTACTTACAAATATATCTATGCCTAGCTGTAGAAAGACAGAATGGTAAAATTATGTGGCATTTTATATTGCATCAGAATGAGAACCACTTGTTGAGTTGACCTATGTCAAGGCAAGGACATTATACAAGAAGGACTGGGCTCGCATTTAGTCACTATTCAGCAACGTTCGACTCATGTGTGAAAAAACAATTGACACCTATATGCCGATTACCCCTTGATTTACATAAATACAAAGCGCCCGCAAGCGGCCCCCGCTATTGTTAGAAAATTTACGATGCCGCGACCGGGCGACAGGCACATTGTTTGGAGCAAGTTTGGAGTGATTTTGAGGATTGAAATAATATTTAGTATGATTTTGAAGAATTGGAGGGGGATATATCCACACACGTAGTACTACACTTGAATCAGGGACCTTTGCTTGAATGTAAAGTTACACACTAGCGCGAGCGGGTGTTCCATATTTCTGTGTTTTAAACTGAAGCCCCAAGAAACAAACACAACGTGCCAAGCTTCTGTTTTTTGCCAAAAATACAAGCAGACACGGACTAGATAAGATCGGGAACCCACATGTATATGAAGCATGAATGTCTGGACATGTCCCTGGTGCACGTTTCTGGTACATAAATGGCGATCTTCCGCTTGGCTTCGGAAAATGCAACCCCTAAAGTACGGACCCGATCTTCTCCCATGACTTTCTAAGTCCGCCGTACAAGTCCATCTACAGAATTTCCTACAACATGGTGCAATGTTTGAACCCAGCGACCGGAAAAAATCGACAACGACCGCCGATAAAATGTACAGGAATGTAAACAAAAAGGTCCGTACATTCAAAGAAAAACGGCGTAACAACATTATAGCGAGGTAAAATCTGTGTATTTTCTTACATATTTTACGGCTGAAAACATAAGTGACTTCGACGAAAACGGCTGTAAACTTGTCCATGTTTGTCGTACGGCGATGAAACAAACATCAAAATCTCCGCCATTTTCTTCTCTACGCGATGCCGACGTCTGCGCATGGCAGCCGCGCAACCCAAATAAGGAAACTGTCGGAAAACGCAGGGGTAGCGAAGTAGTCTTCGGAAGGCTTCGGCGCCCATGACGTCATGGTGCTGCTCATTAGCTATGCCAACGTCATGATTCGGCCGAAAACCCCGCGAAAGGGTGAGTCCAACGTTGACATCAATCGGGGGCCGCGCGGGCGTGAAGACAAAGGGACGCAGCGGGACTCGGCGCGGCGGAACAATGGCCACCGCGGGGTGTTAATTGCGAGCCCAGTCCTTCTTGTACAATGTCTCTGGTCAAGGCCAGTGCCTTTTTACCATCTTGTTTCCATGGCAACAGCTTTTTGGTCATATTTACTCTGTCTGGGCACCTGAAACGCAAACTTACCTGTCATTGAAGAGCCGGCCTAACACTGCATGTTAATGTTTAATGTTTGCACAAGTGGTACCACCGTGGGTGTGTCCGATATTGACCAATCAGGTGTACCGTCTGTGGTTCCCTGGGTTTACTCACATGATGCAATACCTGCCACAGCTGTTTGAAGTAGGTCATATGCAGAATACATCCTGGTATGCGTACATAAAGAGTAATGGGTGCTCAGAAATTGTTTAACTTTCAATTCGAAGACTAGTAAAAATCCTTTACAGATTTGTAAGTATTGTTGTGTACCTGAACCCAAGTTCAGGTTCAGGTCCGGATTCAAGTCTAGACATGTAGGTTCAGGTCCAGACTTGTAAGTCCAGACCTAAACCTAGGGCATATACAAAATATGGAAGGGACTTACTGATGCCCAGTGGCAATGTTTTCTTAATTTGCAGCACAAAGTTTGACTATTGAAGATTTCAGGTGGTTTAGAACAAAAATGGGAATGTAACATGATTTTTTTGTAACTCCGGAACTGGTTCCTGACGTTGTTATTTTGGACTTGAACCATAACATTCTTACAAGTCCGGAACTAGTTCCAAGGAACCGGTACACAGCACCATTTGTAAGCAGAAATACAGGAAAGTATTCTTTCAGAATGTGGCATCATGTCATTCTTTCAGTGTGACCCGGTCAGTGGGCTATAGAATTGTTACTCCTTAGGGGGTCATAATGGAAAGCACATTAAAAATTCATGTGACCTATATTTCATGATATTTCAAAGCAGGTGGTCAGGCCAATCAGTTTTGAGAGGTGTAGCTACCATCTGTGGTGAAAGTGTAAGGGTAGACCCTCATTAAAATTACAGGCACCATCTAATGCAATTGTAGGGCAGCGAAACAAAAAATATTCAGAAAATTTGAATTGAAAATCCAGTTCTACTGCCCTAGCTGAAATTATTTTGGGTGCCCTTATTCACAGCTCAGATGTGTCAGACTCAGACCCATGTATTGGAAAAGCCTCTGACATATATTTATTTGACACAATATTAGGACTGTACAGGACATATTACTTAGCATCATACTTTTTCCCAACATTTCCATGCCAAGGTGCAAATTCAAGTTGAAGTTGAAACTCCCACTTCTTATGTTAGTTAGGTCATGTTATGATGAATTTTACCTTGGCCTATTGCTTTCATGCTTTCATCACTTGCTGCGAAGTTTTTCCATGTTTGTTGCCACTTGCTGCAAAGGTGGTATCACAAATGCTGTGGAGAGGAGGAAAATGAGAAGTAAGCCCTGTCACGTTTGTTGTTACGGTGTGATCAATGTTGTATGTAGGTAGCATGAGCTCCAGTAGGAGACAGTCCTGTGCTGTGGTGTCCTGTGCAGTGTCGTAGAGTAGCCCCACAGTTGGATCGCAGGGTTGTGGGTTCAAATCCCAGTGCTTGTGTTCTGAACCCCAACTTTTGTACTGCTGACAGCAACTTGTATTTCCTTTTGAAGCAATGCATGAAATTCTCCCGAGTCACCAATCTTTAAAACTACATGTAGCGAACTGTCTTACTGAAACTCAAATTGAGTCAAATCAGAAAACCTGCATGTACAACTCCCATAGGTACAGGTCCAACCGTCATTGGGCCAGTTTACACTGGGCAAAAAATTGTTTGTCCTATGATGATCTCCTTGTGGCGCATGTTATAGGACAGATTTTTTACCCGGTATGTTGGACATGTTCTCCTAACATTTGTCAGGTCTCAGTATCTTGCCCATTAGATCTATATTACTAATGGACATTGAGTATGACATATCCTATATTTGTCATGATGCCAATGGGCCCTATGTGAACTTGATACCTCAGAAGTGTGGCGCAGGCATTGGGTCATGTTTTCCTTCTTGTGTCACTGGTGTGGTGACATTTTATGAAGGGCTAAGCAGCTAAGACTATCATCATACATGTAATACATTTGTACCTTTTTTAATAGACTTCTCCTTTGAACTTGCTAATTTGGCATTTTAACTTTTCATCGTTTTGTCACAAAGAAATTTAGAAAGAACTGTAGTTGTATTGAATATTGATACCTGGTTTCTAGTTTGTCTTCCTGGATAATTAAAGAACAAGAATGACAGTCCTAAGTCTGAAAATGGAAAAATCTAGAGCTTCATGTTGCTCTTCTTGGCAACAG